CCTTTTCTTACGCTTTGCAGCTCCTCCCCTTCACCTCTCTCTGGAGCTCTGCCTCCCACCCTCTTCGCCCCCTTTGCCTTCTCCCCTCTCAACCCCCTTGCCCTTCACTGCCTTCTTGCCTCGGCCCCTTCCCTCCTCTCTGCCATCCTGCCTCTCCACCCCTCGCCCCGTCTCTCCTGCGTTGCCTCCCCCCTTCTTTTTCCCTCTTTCCAGTCTCCCTGCTTCTTCCCCTGTTTGCCTCTCCCTGTCACCCTCCTTCTCTGCCCCTTCTTTACCTGCTGACCTACTGCCTCTCCCCCTCTTCTCTTTGCCATCTTGTCTCTCTGCCGGTTGGCCTCCTCGCCCTCCGTTTCGCTCCCCCGTCCTGCCTGAGCTTTGCCTGAATGCCCTGTCAACTACGGTCATGCCCTGCCTAATCGGCCTTCTTTTCAGCCCTCTGTGCCTTTGCATACTGCTTTGCACTTGCCTGTTTACACTGCTCTGGGTTGCCGCCACCTTCGCCCCTCCTGGAGGGGCCGCGGGGACAGCCCCACTACCCCTATTGCCTACTAACGGTGCCGACCCGTCCCATTCAACGGGGGGCTGGTGTTCGCTCTGTTTAGAGGAGGCCGTAACCCTGGGTCGAGCATCCCCTTCTCATTTTCAGCAGTTAGTGTCCAGGGTACCGTGCCGACGGCAAAAAATATCGGATTAGGCAGTGGTGCCTGGCCCTGTAGGATGCTCTAATCTAATCTAATCTAATCTACTGCATGATTATTTATGGGTGTTGAGACATTAGGCACCCCTTTTTTACTCAGGTAGTCTCTGAAATTCTTTTCCTCCTCTTACCATTACTACTGTTCGCCTTAACATCTGCATTACTGGGGGCACCTTTAGTCCATGGCCTTGTCTACTCTAAATTAAACTTTTTTTTCTCTGTACCTTTCCATAGCAGTGTTTAATAGGATCTAATGTTTTGTTTTACTTTTGGCAGAAATCTATGGGCCTACATATATATACACAGCCTAGTCAAGTCTTGGACCTACCTAGGAAATGTGTGGTGATAAAATCAGTTGTACATATAGACTCCACAGCAGGAACTGGAGCAAGTTAGGACAAATGTCCTGTGGCAATTTTATAATGAATTTTAAAAAGTGTGAAACCCCCAAGTGTAATTTGTGAAATGAAGTTGTAAATTTGAAATTGTTTAAGAAACTAGTGTTCCCAAGACAGGAAGGAGCATGAGTGCTTTTGACCTTATTCAATGTGATATTTATGTTGTGACTGATCAATTTTTGTGTGGTAACTGAGCTGTTACTCACATGGAAGTTGCTCCTCATTGTACATACTGGACAGAATAAATAATTTGTGCAAGTAATAATTGATTTATTAAGTCAAGTATCTCAAGTGAAAATGTACTTAATAATTTTTTTTACATTTGAATATGGTACCTAGGCCTAAGTATTGCCTCTATGGTACTTTTTAAATATCTAATTTAAGGTAATTTGACAAGACATTTTGCAGGCTATGCCAATGGATGGTATGATCGCACAATCATCTTGGTGTATCTATCTAGTAATCAGTGCACCTTCTTAATTTTCAATTTTGTTTAAGCTTATCTCGTGAGTTTTTATGATGAGGTTGATCACAAGATAGGAATTTTAGCAGCAACTTCAGAAATGTCTGCAATAGAGCACGAGATGAGGGATATGTAAGGTTGGCGCCGCTCATGAGAAGCTTTCAGCACCAGTATTCGTGCAGCACAACGCTCCATCAGAAAATTCCACTTGAGTATATCTTTTTGTTGATCTGTCATGGATCCAAACTCTAATACCTTGGAAATTTAAAGATTTAAAAATGAGTAAAATTGTTAAAAGTACACTAATTTTGAACAGCCTTAAACATCTAATGAACTTACTGTGCACCCTAGAACAGTTTCTGCAGTTTCAGCAGTGAGACGACAACCTTTTAAAGTTCCTGTGTGATCTGATAGATCAATTCGTATGTTAAACATTCTTCGGGGAACAAATGTTTCTGATCCCTGCTCAACTGGGCAGTCAAGGTTAGAACATGAGTTTTCAACTGAAGTAACTTTGTTGCAAGAGGCACTGTAAGAGAGGAAGTGTGAGGTTTAATTGGCATGTGATAACGTATGATTTCTCCCTGAAACATGGCAGAATAGTTCTCATACCATTTTAATTGTACTACATTGTCATGATGAAGATCAAGATGTGTTACAACAGCATAAACTAGTGCAGTAAATTGCTGTTCATCTTCAGATACACTGTTTTTCACATCAGCCCAACCACGTGACAGGACTGTTCTTACAGACAGAACATTTCGGATGCTGGAAGCTAAATGTGAAGCTGTTAAACACCAAGCAGGAGTAAGATGAAACATTCCTGAACTGCTTAATCATACCATCTGTTATGTTGCTTGTTAAATAATCTATTATGGCTGAAGGCTGGAGAGGTGCAGCTCTTGCATATGCTCGGAGGCATTCTGCATCTTCTGTTTGAGGATCAACTGTAATTATTGTCTTTGAGTTAACCGTAGGTGAGGAGGCATTGCGGTACCCACTCCATTTCAAGATGATATCTGCTATAAACAGAACTGGACAAAATTCACAGAACAATTAGTATGCAAAATTATACAGTATATGATTTTCTGTGAGACTTTTATGGGCCTATGAAAAAGAATTAATCTATACTTGTTTCTCTAGGTTTCCACTGAGATGCTTGGTAAATAATTTCCTTATCCCACAGCTGAACTGACAAACCATTGCTTGTTCGATCAAACACCACAATTTCACGGCACTCAATCTGACTACCATCTTGAAGTTTCAACTGTCTCACTCTTTGAACCTGTGTAAATATTCAACACATATTTTTGTTTTTATTGGTTTCCAAAAATTTATATTGATTTCTAAAACTAGTTTAATGGTTTAGCCTACATTTTGAACTGCTACCAAAATATTAACATAATTTCCTTGCATCAAGTCCCCACTAGACTTAATATCCCTCAGAGGAGTAATATCTGAAGACTGCTTTGTTGGCACATGAATTAGACTTTGAAAATGTTGGGCATCTGGAAGATAGTGATGTTGTATCTCTGATGAGCCCTCAGTTAATGTCAGCTGGAATGGACTAAAATGCAGAGAATATGGTT